GCTCGCTGCCTGCTCTCCGGGCCCCTGGTCCCCTACAGCTGCCCACGCTGGCTGCGGGAGGACCTGCCAAAACATGCCACAGGGTAGTGTCCTGTGCACACTGAGCTGACTGCTCAGTGCACTTCTGTGCAAATATTTATTTAGGAATCTACCGAATGCCAAGCACAGATCAGGACCAAAAAACAGTGTGGCAGACAGCAGCCTAGTTTGTTTTCTAGGCAGACAAATCTGGGTTCAAACCCTGACTGCCTCCTACTAGATAAACCACCATGGGAAAAGCACTTAGCAGCCTGAACTCAGTTTCCTCACCTGTTAAATGGGAACGACAGCACCTTGCTGACGATCTCATCGAGGAGGCAGCCTACACAGCCACGCACATTCACTCCTCCTCCCTGCTTCGCTCAGCTTCCCGGAACCCGAGTCTCCCACTCTCGGCCACCACAGCCGTTTCTCCGAGGCTCATTGGGGACACAGGGCTGAACTCACAGCCCACACTTCCCGTTTGCTCAGAAGCTGCGCATCATTAACAGACTTGTCTCCCGCACTGCTTCCCTGCCCCTCCTACAGTTACTTACATTGGAAACGGGCCCTAGCTTTAATGCACCTCAGATGAGTTATGTGACCAGCCGTTAGGATGATGACAGAAGCATGAATTTCCCCGTTAAAGCCCAAGGGCACAGGCAATCCAAACAAGGCCCGTGGCCCCGGCCGGTGTGCTGAGGACAGCCACTCATCAGGCCTGTGTTTGGCTTGGCAGGAGGCACAGCTCGCGGCAAGCCGGAACCAGACCCTGGCCATGGGCTGACAGCTCTGATTTAAGCTATTAGGAAGATGAGGATTAAATATTTGTCCAGGTCACTGTAAACCGGGTGGAATTATAAACAGCTCAGAGCGGTAAGTGATGCAGGAAACAGTCTCCGGATACAAATTTAGGATTTTCCACCCTTGCCCAGGTGGCAGGGTGTGGGGGAGGCAGGCTGTGGTAGAGCTGGCTGCCTGGGGGTTCGGCCGCCACTCCCTGGTCAACGGTTCCTGGAAGACGGGCCCATTTCCATGCGAAAGAAGGGGCTCTGGCCCAGGGAGCACTAGCCTTGGTTCTGGGATGGCATGGGGACAGCCCTGCCCAAAGACCAGAGCAGGGGACCCCCAAAATCCCTGGTGGCTTCAGGCCCTGTGACACAGCAGAGGTAGCAGAGGTTTTGCATGGAGGCTCCAACAAGCACCCCAGGCATGTGGCTGACAACCCATTTGCCTTGTGCTCTAGTTTTCCAAATGCTTTTGTGACTGAAATACAAGTCCATGTAAAAGAGTTACTAACCCGCCCGGCTGGTGTGGCTCAGTGTTGAGCACTGATCCATGCACCAAGAGGTCACTGGTTCAATTCCTGGTCAGGGCACAAGCCCAGGTTGTGGGCCTGATCCCCAGTGGGGGGCATGCAGGAGGCTGCCAATCGATGTTCTCTCTCATCGATGTTTCTCTCTCTCTCTAATATCAATAAAGAAAAAGAAAAAACCACATACATACATAAATAAAAACAATAAAAGAGTTACCGTATCCTTCCTGGCATATACATTTTCTATCAATGGCTATTAAAAGTATAATAATTATCTTATTGAAATGAATGCCTGAAATTGAAAGGAACCCTTGTGAAGTTGGGAACTACTGGAATGGGGAACAGGAGAGGTGACCGGGGCAGCGGGGGCCTCCCCGAGGGCGTTCTCAAGGAGGCTAGGCTTCGGCCAATATGACATCTCTAAGGCTAAGTGTCTCCTGTCTCTGCTCTCGTCCCTTTACACGAATCACCCCACCACATGGCAACAGGCCTTCCCCTGGGACAGGGCCATCAAGGGTCCTAAACATGGACCCTTACACAAGGGTCTTAAACCTGCTGAGATGCCTAACGTAGCATCTGAAGAAGAAGTGAGGACAAGTCTGCTCCAGAGGAGGCAGCGCCGTCCAGTCCAAACTCCCATGTCAACTCACACGCCTGCGACCACTGACTAAGGGGAGAACTTCCCTCCCACCTCTGACTTCCAGGGAGCAGAGAAGGGCCAGAGGTTGCATCAACCACCAATGGCCAGTGAGTTCATCAATCACGCCTGTGTGACAAAACCTCCATAAAACCCCACAAACGATGGGGTCCAGAGGGTTCCGGAATGAGGAATCAGATGGCTCCCAAGTGCCACCATGCCGGGCCCCAACTCCACGAGGACAGAAAAGCTTTTGTTCGGGCCTTACCCTCTGTATCTCTTCACTTGGCTGTTGATTTGTATCCTTTAATATCCTTCGTAATAAACCAGTAATGTAGTGAGTAAATGAGTTTCCTGAGTTCTGTGAGCCATTCTAGTAAATTAACTGAATCCAATGAAGACGTTGTGGGAACCTCTGATTTATAGTTGGTCAATCCTAAGTACAGGTGACAATCTGCAGTTGCAACTGGTGTCTGAAGGTATTGCGGGGCGGGCAGTCTTGCAGAACTGAGCCCTTAACCTGTGTGATCTGAGACGGTCTCCGAGAGTGTCAGAGTCAAGATGGACTACAGGACACCCTGCTGGTGTTGAAGAAGTGCTTGCTGGTGGCATGGGGACCACGCCCCTCACCATGATGACACTGGCTACAGAACCCAAAAGGGTAGTACTCATCAAATTTTAATGGGCACATGAATTACCTGAAGAACTTTGTTAAGTTCAGACCCCAATTTGGTAGGTTTGGGCAGAGCCCAAGATCTCTGCATTTCTGACAGCCCCTGGGTGGCACTGATGCTGGTCCCAGACTAGGCGGTGAGCAGCGAGGCTCAGATGTGCTGCAGCTGCAGACAGAGGCTCCCAGAGCTGACCTGCCCGACAGGGCTGCTCATGGCCACGGACATGGGGACTGAGCCAAGTACCACTTCTCACAAACAGAAGGAGCCCGAGGTACCAACGTGGGGTGAACCCGATAAGGGTGAGGAGAAAGAAACCATGGCCAAGCCCGCAGTCACCTGGTCCTACCAAAGCAGGAAGCCAGCTGGGAGTTGGAAGGTGGTGTTCAACCACAGAGAGCTCAAAGGGCATTTGTTTGAAATTAAGTGACATGGATTTACAGCTGGCTAAGAAGGCTCAACTTAGAGAAAAGTACCATAACAAAAATGATTATCAGATCGATGCCTCCTTCTAAGAAGTCTCTGGTAGCCATGCCAGAGGGCTCTGAACTTGGCCTTGAGCTACTTAGTATAAGACACAGAGTCAGTTAATGTGCAAGCGACAAATCCAGGAGGAACAGCTAATACCTGTGTCACTGAAACCAAGCTTCAACATACCTGATACAGGCAGAGTGAGGATGTGAGGATAAATGTAAAATATCATTTAAAAAAAGATTTACTGCCAGGCTGGTGTGGCTGGCTCAATGGTTGGGTGTCAACCCATGCACCAAGAGGTCGCTGGTTCAATTCCCGGTCAGGGTACATGCCCAAGTTGTGGGCCCGATCCCCAGTGGGGGGCATGCAGGAGGCAGCCAATCGATGTTCTCTCTCATCGATGTTTCTCTCTCTCTCTCTCCCTCTCCCTCTAAAATCAATAAAGAAAAGAAACTTAAAAAAAAATAAAATAAAAGATGTACTGCACAAGAACAGAACAGGAAATCCCTGGACCCTCAGTGGTTCATAGGACAAAGAGATGGGGTGAGGGGTGCCAGCCAAAGCGATCCTGGGCACATTTGGGAGGACAGGTGCTACTCCGGCTGCCTTTTTAAAACGGAGGCTGGCATAGGAGGAACGGCTGTCTCCCACGGCCACGGGCTCACAGGTCCTACACAGGCAGGGCGGCAGAGGCTGTCCCGTCAGGTTGGGAGTGAGCTCTGAACTCTCCCCATATCCAGATTCTGTGATTCAGGTAGACTTTTGATTGCTTTGGCCAAGGTGATCATTTTTTCTCAATGAGGTGAACAAGTGTTCTGAGCTTTGAAAAGTACACTGCTTGGGCCTACACTGGAGGATTCTGGTAAATGTCATTCAGCTCCACCCTTGGGGTACTGCTGGGGGCAGAGCTGGGCAAGGAGCAGGATGCCATGGTGCTGTCAGCTACTGACACTACCAGGCACCTGCGTGGGGAGGCCAGTAAGCCCCCTAGATGCTTAAAGCAAGCACTCCCTCTTCTGAATCCTTTTAGGCTTTTATTTCAGCCTTTCTCTCCTTCGGGAGGACCCTGGCTACTGTCCCCAGCAACCTGTTGCCCACTAGCTGGGCTGACCCTCTGGCACTGTTGGCACTCTTCAGACTGCCCACCCCACCTGCACAATAATGTCCCTCGGTTCTCTCTGCAGGAAGCGTCTTCCCACCAGTGTCCAATGTCTGCGGCCCACACATCCATCCTTCCCTCCGCTGCGGAATAGCCACATTTTACTCTAGGAAACCAACACCCCTTTTCTATCTACAACACCAGACAGTCACATGACCCAAGTCGGGCCCAACTATCTCCTCCCCCAAGGCCTCAGGAAACGATTCTGTGATAGACCAGCAACCATACGTGGACCAGTGAGACTTCTGGGGTAAATGTAGCCCCTTTCTCAAAGAGAAGCCCCCCCGGCACTGCCGGGAGCCACCACATGGAGGGACGGGGTCCAGGCAGCAGCACCTGCGTCCTAGACCCAGCCTCGCTGAACGAAGCCTGAACTGCTTGATTATATGAGCTGACTCCTTTCCATTTTTTGCTTAAGTCATAGTTTTACGTTTGTCACTTACAACCAAGAGTCCTGATACATGATCTCAGTTGCAAGGGAGAAATGAATTCCTTCTAAAATGCTATCGGCAGTATGTCCTAAATATCACGGGAGAACTTTAATGCAAACACCCTATCCAAAGAGGACACTTCCAGTGACTGAATCTCGGGATCACTGATAGGCCTGTGGGGAGACCACGTCAGGCACAGAAGCTGACCCAGGACCCCTCTGTGGGGACAACTGCTCACGCATCCCCACCTACAGTCAGCTCTGAGGCTGGCACCTATGGGCACCGGCAACTCTACCTGTCTGGTAAGGCTGCCTCCGAGGTTCATGGTGCCAGAGCCGGATTTGTTGGTTTGCAGCCACAGCATCACCGTGGAGGTCAGCTTGTAATGGGCTGTGCGGCCACTGGATTTCTCCTGGGGGATGAGACAGAGATCAGAACCTGTGCACAACCCAAGCTCGGGAGAGCCGGAGGTGGCCCCTGAATGCAGGGCCATCCTAACGTGCCGTTCCTGAGACATTACCACAACACTATCTTTCTTTAAAACCCCAAATGGTTTTTAAAGGGGCAACTGTGTATTCTTCTGGGATCTTTATCCTCAATGACTACTGTGATTTTGACTTATCTTTATCCAAATGGCTTCAGGCATTTTTAGAAATTAATGGGTTTAGGTATCACTACCTCTCTCTAAGAAGCATCTGCTAGAGATCGGGGACTACACCGCTGGGCGTGGCACCTGCAGTGCGGCCCTGGACCGCCAGCTGCTGGGGAGCATACCTGAACTTCCACCACGTGGATGGAATCCCAGCAGCCTTTGATCTTCTTGGATCCGTCTCCAGCCTTCTTTATGAGGATCACTCCAGCAAAGCCATGATCCAGATCCCAGAGGTAGACAGATGAGACACCGCCTTCAAAATACCTGCAGGAAACAGGCCCATGTGCCCATTAGATGTTAAGCTCATCAAATTACAGACCATCAGCCCAGGTCCCAGGGGTTGTTTGGCAAAGATTCACCTAAGTGCCTGTCTGGAATTCACCTTCCCCGCAATGATTCCAGGGTTGATTCTTGCATGTGTCCTGAACATCCATTGGTCGGGGTTGGGGGTATAGCATTCTTTGGGGGTCACAGAAGAAACAGCTTTTGAGTCATCAAAATAAATCTGAGCCTGAGCTCTGCCACATACTCAAGCTTTGTGGTCTCTGGACCACACTTCTCTGGGCTTACAATTCCTCCCAGATAAAGGATCCAGCAGCGTGACACACTCAATGGGACCCCTGCTACGGAGCCATCATTACCGTCCGATATTCCTATCTTCTGCAATAGCTACTTTACAAGGGAGATGAAGAGAAAGAAATAGAGCAACAAGCCCTGGCCGGTTTGGCTCAGCGGTTGGAGCGTCAGCCTACAGTCCAGAGAGACTCGGGTTCAATTCCTGCTGGGGGCGTGTACCTCGGTTGCGGTTTGTCCCCAGCCCTGGTCGGTCGTGCAGGTGGCAGCCACTCGATGTGTCCCTTTCATGTCGATGTTTCTCTCCCCCCCCCCCACTCTATCTGAACAAAAAATGGAAAAATGTCCTCAGGTAAAGATTAAAAAAAAGAGAAAGAAATAGAGCAACAAAACGCTCCCTCCCCCGGAGCCTTCCACACCAGGGCTCCCGTGGTCCTCGGAGCTGCAACCCCATAGCCAGGAATGGAGGGCTACGCTTGGGATAGAGCTTCCCCCTCAGGCCTGAGCCAATATGGAAAAATTCCCAATTAAGATCAAATGCACGAGGGAAAGAAAAGGCCAGAGGAGAAAAGGAAATCAGGCTAGGTTCCCAAATCCCAGAGACCAAAGTCAATGCTGTGGCGGAGCCAGGCCGACGTGCCTACAGACCGAGGAGCTCAGAAAGCCCGGGCAGATGGATCGCTGCTGACGTGCAGTGCCTCAGATTCTGCCGAATCTCGGGTGGCCAGAAAGTCTGTGGCTTCTTGACCCCGATTAACCTCCGCTCAATGGTGCGGCACACTCGGACCCACCAGGAGCACGAGCTCGGGCACGAACAGACGGCACGTGAAGAGCGAGCAGGCATGCAGCTGCGGCGAGCGCGGGCTCGGGTCAGACACCCATGGGGCCCAGCCCAACCCCTCCCGCTACCAGCTCCGCTTACACGCTTACCCACCCACAACTACAGTGATACCTCGGTTCTCGAACGCCTTGACTTTCGACCAAATCGGTATTCGACCAGGAGATTCGAGAAACTTTTGTCTTGGAATCCGAACAAATATTTGGAACTCGAACTTCCGAGATGAGCCGAGTGGAGCCGAATGGCGTTCATTCGGCCCAGCGCACCTTGCTCGCGTCATCAGTGTGAGTGCAGAGAGAGAGTCACGCTTTGTGGAGAGAGTCACGCTTTACACTGAATTTAACCCTTAGACATACTGTACACTTTTATTTCTTGTTGAGACTTATGTTTTTCTACATATTATATACAAATTAGGCCAGTAAATAGGCATTTTCTGGGGCTTGGAACGAATTAATCCAGTTTCCATTATTTCCTATTGGGTTTCATTGCTTCGGTTCTCGAACAATTTGGTTCTCGACCGTCCTCCTGGAACGAATTATGTTCGAGAACCGAGGTATCACTGTACTTATTAAGGGCTACCAGGCACCACTGGGTGAACTGGGCCTTAGGACTGCCGAGAGACAAAAACAATATAGGAAAGTAGCTACCTGAACAAAGATTACTATTAATTTGATTTTTCTTTAAATATTTTTAGTGACACTTTAGAGGGAGAAAGGGAGGAGAGAGAGAGAGAAATACTGATGTGAGTGAAACACTGATCTGCTGCCTCCTGCACGCCCCCTACTGGAGATTGAACCTACAATCCACGTATGTGCCCTGACCGGAAATTGAACCAGCAACCTTTAGGTGCACGGGACAACACTCATCCAACTGAGCCACACCGACCAGGCCTTACTATTAATTTTAATAACAAAAACAAGTTCTAAGAGTAAACACGTCTGTGAACTATAGCTCAAAAAACTGTTATATAACAAAAATGTATGTGGCATATACTAACATGTAGAGAATGTGGGTGAAAAAATATATTGTTTGGTGCAGAGGTCAGTCACACACAGACATAAGTGTGTGATCGAGGGACAGTGAGACCAAGGAAGTAGCCCCTCCACAGGAAGACAGCCTCTAACCTGTGAGCTGCAGGGCTGGAGGCTCAGCTTTATCCTCCTGCTCTAACCTGCTGCTGCCTGCTGGCAGCCAAGGGTCCTTACCAAGGTTGCTACCCTTGTCCTCCCCACCAGGATGCCTTAGGCAGACTGGGGCCCGCCCACTGCTGCTGCCACCATCACCACATCCAGTTCCGCTGCCGCATCCCCACACCACCCACTGTGATTAAGCTGTCAAATGAAACTCACAACTCTGCCAGTCCCAGCAAGCCACCCAGAGGCAGGCGAGGGCAGGCCTGGGCTAAGTGCCGGTCAAACAGTGGAAGGTGGGAAGAGGTTTGGCTCCAGACAAGTGCAAGTGTAACACTGTGAGAGCAATGAACAGACACACCTGTGTATGTGTGTGTGGGGGGGGGGGGGTGGGCAGGGCAGAGCTCAGTGCCATGCCAGGTGACCTCCAGGAAATGGTCAACACTGGGCACTCAGGGACCCCACTCGGGAAGGTTTTCTCTTGTTCCAAATCTCTTCGACAACCGCCCCCAACACATACACACCTTCCCTGGGATGGGAGAGGGAGGAAGCAGAGGTGTTTTGGTCTAGGACCAGTCCTGCAGGGGGCTGCACACACAGGCCACCCTGGAATGCTCCTGGGACTCATGATGCATTGGTCACTTCTAGATGGACTCTCAGTGCTCAGGTGAGCTCGCAGCAGGGACTCCACGAGACTTTCTGGCTTGTCCTCCTGATTCTGGTGGTTCCCTCAGCTCACAAATTCACTAGGAGGCACCCCAACACTAGCGGGGGAGGAGAGGGGCAGCCCACAGCAGACCTGTGAACACCGTCCTGTTGGTGACAAATGGATGGGTTTGCCACCTGGTTTGCCCTTTCAATCTGCTCGTAGGGACAGCAGCCCCACATCAAAAGGGAAAAAACAACTTGAAGAAACTCTGGCTTTTCCTGTGCTGGCAAAAAGGACAGGCCAAGAAGTCCTCGTTTCCGTTGGCCACCCTGGAATGAAGGCTTGAAGCCCAGTGGGCGTTTTCATCCTTCCGCCCCTCACAGCTTACGGCCCGACCCTCTGCACCTCCCCAAACCAGAGGGTGGTGTTCTTGTCAAGGGCTCGTGCCCTGGGTGCTGGAATACTGGAGAGAGTGGGGTCAGGCCGTCCTGGAGAGAAACCAGGAGGACTGTGGTGGCTTGACAGCCCTGGTCACCACCTGGTGACAAGTTCAAAAGTGCCAGGTGGCCTACAGTTGATCCCCATCCCCATCCCATCTCTTAGACTTGTTTTCTTCCAAAAAATAAAACAGCGGCAAGAATGTTTTATAAGGTGGAACCGGTCATTTCCAGTCCAGCGTCCCTCCCATGGCTCAGCTCCCATGCTGGGCAGCTTCTTCTTGGATTGCTCTGCTCCCCTGTGGGCTATACTGACCAGGCCCAGAGTTTCTAAATGCTGGACACAACAGAGGTAAAAATGCAACCTCAATTCTGACCTCCATGCGGGTTACTAGTCCTCCAAAGTAAAAACATTTATTGCAAGAACATCATAAAAAAGGAAATTTAAAAATTAGCCCACAGTACCATATATCAACTTATCCCATAAATCTGATTTTTCCAAATTCCCTTCCAGTCTTTGTCCAGATGTGTAATTTTTATGTAACTGTAAGACCGGCAAAGGTATTGAGTGGAGTTCGGTTTTTCTCACTTGGCACAGAACCATCAGCGCTTCTCCATGGAGCCACATGACCTCTGTCACTGTTTTAATAGCTGGGATAGCACTCCATTGGGCAGTATCCTAATTTACAGTCAATTTGACTTTTAATACAGAAACGGCAGAGGCAGAGTGAGGCTTGGATCTCACCGGGACTCCGCTCCCTCGTCCGATCGGTGTCCCCACTGAAGTGAGGCAGAGGTGCTGAAACCTGGCCCCCGCAGGTATGGCCCCAACCACAGTTCAAGAATGGACTTGCATTTCATCCACCAAAGGGGATCTCCAGGGACTGAGTGGCTGCAAGTCTCACCTGAGGTTCCAGGACGAAGAGAGCTGGGGCTGAGTGACAGGAAGGCCGGCCTCTCCGACGAGTGCCGGCGGGACCGCGGTGCAGGCACTGCCCAGGCGGCGCGGGGCACAGACAGCCCTGTCACCTGGTTTATGGCCTTGCTCTGCGCGTGAAGCATTAATTGAAGAGGGACCTCAGCAAGTTTTTGAAAATTTATTCTTACCTACTGTACTTTGATCATAATGACATGAAACAGGAAAAAAAATAATTTTTATGTGGTTCACATTTATGAGTTTTTACATAAAGGCTTTTGTGGGTATTTTAAGAATGTGCTAAAACGTTGTCTGAAACCACACAAAGCCATCTGAGGAGCCGCCCGCCAGAACCAACAGCACGCACATGGAAGCACTTTAACTGGCCTTTGTATATTTAATGAGTCAAATAGTATTAATATTGTTTAAATGCTAACATGCTATTTCAATAAGGTGGCTCTACCATTGCCAGCACTCGCTCTTGGGCCTCGCACATCAATGTGAATGATCAAATGTGGCCCAGCGATGAGGGCAGGCAACAGAGCCGTTAACCTGGCCCTGCCCTGGGCTCCGCCCCAGCTCCATCATTTCCAACCCCACCCCCACCCCTGCTCTCCAGGAGAGGGGGCAGACAGGCTCAGCTGACTTGGGGCTCAAGAGGGAAGGCTCTCTTCAAAGTGAGGTGTCTGGTCAAGTGGGCAGCTGGGAGAGCATCTTTAAA